CTCACAACTCCTTAAACACGGTCTCTTGCCAATTGTGTGATTTGATTCATTTAAAATAAAGTGGCATTAGAAACCCTTTAAACTAAAAGAGCGCGCCACATGATATTTTCCTGCAAAAATCAACCAACGGCACAACCCGTTAGTGGTTAGTTTAAATGCAATGCAAAATGAAATGGGATGCAAGATGAAACGACTAATCTTAGGGCAAAATTTGGGGTATTACACATATCCATTACACAAAATGACAGCATTCCAAAATGACATCCATAACCATAACACAAAATGACAGTAAGTGGTTTCAAATATCAGTTAAGACCATTAAACAACATGACTTAATGGTTCCAAATACACTTAAGACTAAGTGGGTACAGATACACTTAAGACCATTAAACAACAACTAAAATACAACTAATATTTTTTCTTGGGTTCGGTCTTCTTAGTCGGAGTTGTCCTCCATGTGGTTGGGCCAATCACATTCTTGGTAGCACTTAGCCTCATAGTGGGTCTAGAAAGAACAAAAGGAGTTGATGGCCTCCTAACACATAGTTTACTTGGCCTTCCTAGTGTTAATTGCTGAGTAGCAGATGTGCCTCTAATTTTTGGCAGTTGAGAACCTTGTGTGCCTCCAACAGTTGATGTTTCTTGGCTTCCTTGTTTTCCTCCAACAACTGACGTTGCCTGCTTAGAACCTTGTGTTTGTTGAGTACCTTGATCATTTGGTTGAGAACCTTGAGTAGCTTGCTTAGAACCTTGTGTCTATTGAGAAACTTGAGCAGTTTGTTGAGAAACTTGAGTAGCTTGCTTGGAACCTTGTGTTTGTTGAGAAACTTGAGCAGTTTGCTGAGTACCTTGAATAGTTGGTGTTACCTTACCGGTTGATTTGTTTTGCCCTAGTTGCTAACACCTAGAACACCTGACTGCAAACCCTGTTCTCCTCATTTTTTTGTCAGTCCCATCCAGCTCCCATTGCTCAAGATTTTTTCTCTTCTTTGGTCTTCCAGGCATCCTTCTATGTTTATGAGGTTGCACATCTGGATATTCTGTTCTAACCCAGAGATTTGATCCATTTACAGGATAAACCACAGGTGAATAGACCTTCATGTACATTGACTTCCTATAATAATTAGGGATGTATTCTTCAATCTTAAAGTTCCTACTTTTCATACATCCTTACATTTTATCCTCGCCATTACCTTGTCATTTTTACTGAACTTAAAATTTATACCACTATGGACAACATATGATGTTATTGCCTCCTTGGAATCATCTTTTAAACTAAAGTACACCCATACCTCCCATTTGAAATCATTCATGTCTTTTTTCATCTTAAACATTTGGTGATCCTTTTTTGAACACAACAACTATCATGACTATCACACCCACTCACTAGATCTTCACTTTCATTATCACTTCCTTTAAATTCACCCTTGTCTTCTTCCCATTTCTCTTTTTATTTTTTGGATTCTCCCTCATATCCCTCTTCATATTGTTCATGTTCAAGTAGATTTCTCAACTCATCTTCATCTATATCATCATACACATCAGAAGAATCATCAAAAGCTATCTCTAGAGCACTATCATACTTGTACAACTCGTCCTCACTATCATCACTACTTAGAGCATCATCCACCTCACCACTTTCCATACCAACATTTTCATGATTGATACCAATATTTTTAGCTTCCAATACAATCTTCCCAGCCTCAATACTAACTTTTTCTGCCTCCAACACAACCTTGTCAGCCTCCAACTCAACTTCATTGAACTTATCATTTTCATTGATTGTTTATTCATACAATTTAGAAATCACTTCTTTAACTACATATGCCTCCTCATTGACATTGGCAACATTTTATACTTCTGCTTCTATAGGTCCATCATAATAATCAGGCTGATCAAGTGTGTGTTGAATATAAATGTCTACACCAAGGTGAACCCTGTAAAGATCAACTATTTCTAATGCTCGTACATCATCAATCAATGCACTCATCCCAAATGTCAGGTCATTCTATTAATAAATTTTCTCAAAATGCATATAACCTAACTCCTTAAGTTCACCTATTAACTCATAGTAACTCCATTTGTCAAAATCTACTTTCAACTCATCAATTTTTCATCCTTCATACATTCTAAGATCACCATCAACGAATTCACCACTATGATAAATTCTTAGTACTATAAACTCGTCCATTGCACCTAGTCAGTTCAAAATCGAGACTATGAACCAACAAATTTCTCATATTGAAAACCTTAATTTCTACCACGCCGTAAAGCTATATAAAAATCATATAAAGCCCTAATTTATAAAAAAAATCTAATTTCTCATATTAAGATTTTACAAAGCATCAAATTTCTAATTTGTTTGCAACAATGCTTTCAACAGTCCCTTAATCGATCTCGCTTTCAGGAACGATGAATTTCAACTTCCCTTAACTGCACGATGTTCTTTGCTGCACAATAAATTTCTTCCTTCCCTTGACTTTCTGAAAATGTCTATGTTCACAAAGGAAAAATATAAACGGTCACTTGCCACATAAGGTAAAATATAACGTAAGCCATCAACCATGCCACATGGACACTCTTTCTGAATCCTCACTAACGGAAACAGTGCTCCGTTTTTAATACTTAAGAAATCGATTTGAATATTTTAAAAATTAAGATATCAAAATGAACCCGACTAAAATTAAGAGACGAAAAATGGTATTTTCCTCTTAAATTATGTCAAAATCATGAAAACTAGGGTGTTACACTAGGCAGCATGACAATGTTTTTTATTTTTTTATTTTTCATATTTAGATTATCACACGTTTAAATAAGGAGAAGTAAACATATCTATGCTGTGGCTTCATGTTTTTTGAATGAGTCCTGCTATATACAAATACAAAATGGCATAAAATAATTCATTTGCAGGTTTCTCTAGATTACAGAAAATATATGATGTTCATGTAACAATATTACTCCATGACCACCTACAATTTTCATATTCTAACTGAATTTTTCACTTCTTTATCTATTTGTTATCATTTGAACTGAGTTTGGTCCCTACAACAGCTGTAAGGTGCACAGTCAATACACGTGTCTCAACCCTTGTATTTGCATGCATGTACACTTTGTAGCCTTGTGGAGTTTAAGTCTAATAAATTTTCACATTATTATCAATTTTGTTGCAAAACTCAATAGCAATAAAACTCATTAAGAATCATGATGTAAGACTCATTAAGAATCATAGAATATAAGTCCCAAAACAATGTTCATGCAAGTTGCATTGAATAGGTAACTCACACCATGACAAACAAAAAGATATGTCTCCATCATCTCACAATCTCTTTAACCATAAGTACTCATGCCGTGATGTTTATACCTTACTTACTCAAGCTAAATTTTGTCATTGTTGTAAGAAATCTCAAGAGTTAACAGCTGTTTTATTATAAATATACAAATTGCGATCACTTACGAAACACTAATACAAATACGACTCAATGGTGACACAGACATGTCGAACACCATAGAAAAAAATCTAAATGTTGTAACTATAAACTTTTGTGAAGCAAATGTTGTATAATTTTTAAAGGTGTAAAATTTATTTATATCTAATAATTGAAATGGAGGAAGCAACTTGCATCTAAAATTGTAGTGAAGATTTGGAATTAAAATAAGATTCCTTACCATTAATTAAAGGGGCAAGAGATAAAACTACTACATTGTAATATTCTCGTTTTCACATTCAAAGACAATTAATTGACGCGTTTTGAAATTATGAAAGCTTTGTTTTACCCCAAAAAAATGAAGTTGAAGAAAACACTGAAGTTGTTATTGGTGTACAGAAGTTGAACTGCGTGTGAATGATTCATGAACAAGTTTTTGATAAAATAGAGAAATGACAACAATGCAGAATTGACTGAGGAAAGAACAAAAGGAAAACAGTTCATGTCTCATGCATTGTTACTTGACACGTTTCAAACTTATTCTTCAAGATGTCATCTTAAGGATGATGCTAGCATGGTAGTCTGTACAAGGCACATAGAAAAATTCATAAAATGGTACAGTCATAGTACATTTAGGATTCTTTGACCCACATGCTATAAGATTTTTACTGTCAAGACAATCGATGCGTGATTCAGTTATCCTATCTTGAGCGTGAGAAGTGTGTATTATGAAAAATTGATTATGTAAGTTTGAGTTAGGCCAATCTAAAATTTTAATAGATTTTTACTGTCAAGACAATCGATGCGTGATTCAATTGTTTTGTTCAACTATTGAGAAACAACAACGGTTGAGACACTATGGAGTATGCTTGAGCTCGGAATATTGGCATTGTATGTGACAACCGAAAAACCAGGAGTATGCTCGAGGATTAGATCCGTTAGTCCTTTAATTCCCGCTTTTTCCGCATCAATAACAAAACCAAAAGCATGCTCATGGATTAGATCTTTTAGTATTTAATTCCGCGTCAATAAAGAAACCACGAGCATGCTCGAGGATTAGATCCTTTAGTCTTTAATTTATCAATAACGAAACAACAACCATACTCGACGATCGGAACCTTTAGTCCTTTAATTTCAGTTTTTTCAGCTATCAACATTTTAGAATAGTAAATAATAATATCACATGCCTTTTATATATATCATAAAAATAAGTACAGATAGAAAATAAGTTATGTCCTAGTCCCTTTTTGAATGACAAATTCAATTATCTTAAAAACTACATTTATTAACCTAAGAGACATACTATTACTATGCATAATTCTTTAGATTCTATGTAAAAAAATCCACTATAAAAGAATTCAATGTGCCTTTGGTGACAGGAAACTTCTCAAAGAAAAATGTTTAGTGTATCTATTATTAGTAACATTTTATGATAAGTACCCTTCACCTTTTCTTTGTTTTGTAGCAATATTTAATGTGTGCTTGTGACATACATTTTCTACTTTGTATGTATAAATATATGTGTCTGTTGTGATAGCAGAATACATAACATCAGGTATAACCATACTTGAAGTGATGTCTCCCTTAGTTTTTTTGTGTCTTCTATTCTCATTCTTAATGGATGGTTCTAAGGGTCAGCTTCAAATTGGTTTCTACTCAAACACATGTCCTCTAGCAGAATCCATTGTCCATGATGTTGTTAGAGAAGCTGCTCTTTCTGACCCAACCCTGCCTGCTGGTTTGCTTAGGCTTCATTTTCATGACTGCTTTGTTGAAGTATGTGTTTCTTCTGTCTCTTATGTAGTAACATGTTTTGGTTCTAGCAACATTTTGACATGACTTGATGTTTTTTTTTTCCAGGGATGTGATGGTTCCATTTTGATTGATAATGTTAAAGAACCAGAAAAAGATGCATCTGTACATCTAGGTCTTAGAGGGTTTGATCTCATAGAAAAAGCTAAGGTGAAATTGGAAGAATCTTGTCCTGGAGTGGTTTCTTGTGCAGATATTGTTGCATTGGCAGCAAGAGAAGCAATTTTCATGGTTCTATCCTAATTCCTAACTTCATTATATTTCACTTTTTGCTTAAAAATTGATTTTTCATCATTGGAATTGTTAACTAGAGACTAATCTTTTGAGTTAGACCTTTTTCTTTTATAAAAGTTTTAACATTTTGCATGAATTTTGACACAATGTAGACAAATGGACCTTGGTACAAAGTTCCCACAGGGAGAAGAGATGGATTCGTTTCCGAAAAATCTCTTGCAGATGATATGCCAGAAGTCAGTGATTCAATTCAGCAACTCAAAACCAAGTTTCTGAACAAGGGTCTCACAGATAAAGACCTTGTCCTTCTCAGTGGTAATCTCTCCATCTTTCTCTTCCACTTACGCAGACACAAACACGACACTCGAACGTCGATATCCAATATTAATTTCAAAAATGAGTTATTAACTGAATGTAATCGTTTATGTGTGTCTCCGACACACTAAAACTAACACGTGTCAGACACCGGATACAAACACTCATATACACCTTGAATCAGATATGTCGGTACTACAAATGATGAATAGAAATACATTTGTAGATGAGACCAAGGTTGTTGAAGTGATATAAGATTATAATATTCCAACAAATCACTAGCTAAGATTTTGACAAATTTTCAGGATTCAAGAAATGTTGACATAACATCTACCACTCTTTGTTTAATGAGTATTGAGTATGTGATAATTTGTAAGCATAGTAATTAATGGTTCACTCTTGTGATAAATTCAGCTGCACATACAATAGGAACCACAGCATGTTTCTTCATGACAAAAAGACTATACAACTTTTCTTCATCTGGCGGTGGATCAGACCCAGCTATTAATCCAAGATTCCTCCCAGAGCTTCAGGCAAAGTGCCCTCAGGCGGGAGACGTTAACGACCGTTTAGCCATGGACATAACAACTGAAACAAGATTCGACAAGAACATATTGAATAACATAAGGCAAGGTTTTGCTGTGTTAGAATCGGATGCAAGACTTATCGATGATGCAAGAACAAAGGCTGTGATTGAATCATACTTAGGTCCCTTCACTCCAATATTTGGACCTTCTTTCGAATATGATTTTGTTCAATCAATGGTTAAAATGGGACAGATTGGTGTCAAGACAGGTTCTGATGGAAACATTAGGCGTGTTTGCTCGAAACTCAATTGATGCTCGCATATTAATTATGATGTATAAGAGATTGTAAAAATAAAATAAAAATGGAATGATATTTGCATTCATAATTAGAAGACTTAAAAGTTGGTGAGGTCACATTTGAAAAAGTCAAAAGGTGATACCAAAAATAGCAGATGAATATTTTTTCATGGCAAATATAGCAAAGTCCAAGAATATCAAAATCAATGAGTGCTTTATAAAAGATAATATATGTATCACTAAATCTCCTATGGTTCCCATGTTTTCATGCTACAAAAATGGATAATGCTTAACTCAGGTTGAAATGTTTTTCCAATAGAGGAACAGAAGAAAAGAAAGTTGGAACAAAAGACAGATAGAAAGAAAAAACTATCTATCTTTTTACCTCTTATCTTTCTTTTTTTTCTTTTCCTTCTAAAGGTTTATACAAATACATTTGTTGTTTCTTGAACAACAAGTTTCATAGATAATCATAAAGATTTTGAACATTTTTTTTTATCAAAATCGAAAGCTAAAAAAAAATAAAGTATGCCACAAAGCTCAATCAGAAGAGCCCTTGGGGCAGTAAAGGATCAAACAAGTATAGGACTAGCTAAGGTTGGAAGCAGCACCTCACTTGCTGACCTTGATGTCGCCATTGTGAAGGCGACACGGCACGATGAACATCCGTCGGAAGAGAAATATATAAGGGAGATTTTGAGCCTAACGTGTTACTCGCGAGCGTTTATTAGCGCGTGTGTTAATACGCTTTCGAGACGTCTCAGCAAGACTAAAAGCTGGACAGTGGGTTTGAAAACTCTTATTTTGATTCAAAGGCTTTTGACAGAGGGTGATCCTGCTTATGAGCAAGAGATATTCTTCTCAACTCGACGCGGGACTCGCCTGCTCAACATGTCTGATTTTCGTGACAGTTTGAAATCTGATTCTTGGGACTATTCTGCCTTTGTGCGCACGTATTCGTTATATCTAGATGAGAGGCTTGAGTATAAGATGCAAAATCGGCGAGGAAAGCGTGGCATGTTTGGTATTGACGAAGAGGAGGATGATCGGGAGAGAGAAAGAGAAAAGGACAGGGATAAAGACACCGTTGTAAGATCTACACCGGTGCGTGACATGAAGTTAGAGCAGATTTTTTCCAAAATGCAGCATTTGCAATTGCTTATCGAACGCTTTTTAGCTTGTCGTCCGACAGGTTTATGATCACTACTAGACCATAAGATTTGTCTAACAAAATATATTACTTTTCACTCGATTTTCTTAAACACATTTTCATGGCTTTTTTTCAATGCAACAGGGGGAGCAAAGAATCATAGAATTGTGATAGTGGCTCTTTATCCGATTGTGAAGGATAGTTTTCAATCATATTACGAGATATCGGAAATAATGAGCATTTTAATCGACCGTTTTCCTGACATGGAAGTCGCCGACTGTGTTAAGGTGTACGACATTTTCTGTCGTGTTGGAAAACAGTTTGATGAGCTAGACCTCTTCTATGGATGGTCCAAGAGTATTGGAATTGCTCGCTCTTCCGAGTACCCCGAGATAGAAAAGGTCACACCAAAGAAACTCGAGGTTATGGAAGAGTTTATCAAAGACAAGTCACTCTTAGCACAAAGCCAGAAAACTAATGCAGAAGAAGAGGTGGTTGAAAAAGTCGAGGAACCTGAACCCGAACCTGAGCCTGAACCCGAACCCGAACCGGAAGAAGTGAGTGAAGTCAAGGCACTACCGCCGCCAGAGGAACCGGTTGAAGAAGTAAAGGAAGAGCCGGTAGAGGTGAAAGAAGAAAAAGTTGTACAAACCGAAGGCGATTTGTTGAACTTAGGAGATGATAGGGTGACAAATGAAGAACATGGGGACAAACTAGCCTTAGCTTTATTTGATGGAGCTGCAGTAACAAATGAAGGTGCAACACAAGCACTTCCATGGCATGCATTCGATGAAGGAGCAGATTGGGAAACAGCATTGGTACAATCAACTAGCCACTTAGGGAACCAGAAACCTGCATTAGGTGGAGGGTTTGATACCCTATTATTGGATGGTATGTACAAACAAAGTGAAATGAATGCAGCAATGCAAGGACAAGGTTATGGTGGCAGTGGAAGTGCTAGCAGTGTTGCACTTGGTTCAGCTGGAAGACCTGCAATGTTAGCATTGCCAGCACCAGCATCATCGGGAACTGGAAATGATTCTAGCTCAGGATATGTAGATCCGTTTGCTGCGTCGTTGGCTATTGCACCTCCGTCTTACGTTCAAATGTCGGAGATGGAGAAGAAGCAAAGGTTGTTAGTTGAAGAACAGCTCATATGGCAGCAATATGAAAAGGATCGTATGCAAGGACATGCTGCACTGCATAAACAACAGCCTGGTAGCAATAACTCTTACACGGGAGGGTATCCACAGAACTATGGCAATTATCATCGTTGAGTAGAATAACTTTTCATTAGTTGGCACTATTTTTCCTCATTTAGAGGGGACAACATTTTACCAACATGTATTACTAGAAACATACTTCTTCAACCTTGTTAGGACATTGAAGATTAATGTCATACCCACTCTCCTAAGAAAAACTTGTTTTATTTCTTAACTTCTTTGCCCCTTTAATTTCAGAAAGAAAGTGGCCATTAATCATTCATTAGCGATTCGTTTTCAACAAAATCATGGTAGAAGTCACTGTATATACACCATAAAGCTTGTCTGTCTTACTTTAGTTATGGTCGATATGATAAGGTTAATAATCCAATAGAAACTAACCCTGTAGACTAAGTCTAAAGATCAGCTAAATTAGATACTAAACTTGAAACGGTGGTAATAATGTATCTCACCGTAACTTTTGTTCATAATTTCAATTGGATTGTCACTCTATGTTAATCTATGAAAGCTTGTTTTACAAAATGATTGAAAGATCCAAGTTCAATTATGATTTAACTCAATTATGTAGATGTAAAATGAAGATTACATTTCAATACAAACATAGATGTGTTTGAAAGCTTTAAGCTAATCTAACAGAAAAACTAGAGCAAAAAATGGAGAAGGGAAGAGGAGAGAAAAAGACTGCTTCGATAAAATAGCTTAAGATGACATGTTCATCACATAATCACCTTGATTTATTCCTCAATAAATCAAACATGGGCAAATTTAACACAATCCTGATTTATTCCTCAATAAATCAAACATGGGCAAATTTAACACAATCCATCACATTGAGTTGAAAATATGTTTGAATTGATGGAATGGGAAGAATGGAATGGAGTGCATCTAATCCCTTTCCATCATTTTTTTCACCCAATTTGTACTGAATGACAAAATCTCTGTCTACCATTCCAATGATAGAATGGAATAAAACTCATACCACTCAATGATAGAATAGAATATTATTTCATTTCATCTCATTCAACTCCATCCAATTCCACGAATACAATCAAAGCCTCAAGGGTCGATCAAGACCTTCAAACCCATATCATTCCATCCCATTCTGTCTCATCCAATTCCATCAATCCAATCAAAACCAAAGTCTGGAGGTCGAATAAGACCTTCGAAAACCCATATCATTCCGTTCCATCCAATTCCATAAATCCAATCAAAACCTAAGGGTCGAACAAGACCTTGAAACTCATATCACCTTGATTACCCACAATAACACATCCTAGGGACAACACAGAAAAAGAAGACCAGGAGTTGTTTCATATGCTGAACTTCCACCAACATTCCATAGTACTATCATTTTAGTAAAGATTTCAGAGATGATATACCAAAGCCAACAAAAACCAGTGTAAATATTATAAAATCCAGAATCTTTCCATACATATGGATTATCTTATGCATGAGCAAATGAGAAAGATGTTTAAAATCATTAAAGCCTTTCAAGAAATAAGAAAACAAAGACAGATTGATAAATAGCAACAGCTTACACTAGAGTCAATCACAATAGGTACTTCAAATAACAAAATTATATCTATCAGAAATCAATATCCCAACAAAACATATTCCAACATAGGAAACATAACATTAAAACAGCAAATCCTAATTCTCCATCTAGAAGAGAGATGTTCCTTTTCCCTTCTTGTCTCCACCAATCTCAAAATGCTTACACCTCTGCATAACAATAAACACACCCACATAAATAACTACCAATAACTTTCAAACAACAAAATAAGATTAGTGTCCCTGTTCTTTATTTCCTGAAACCAAGCAAACTAACCTTGATGGCATGTTGAGAAACATGTTTGCAACCCTGACATTGCAACCTCAGAACAATTTTCTTAGTGGTTTTAGCCTATATCAAATTCAAAGCAAACACAAACAAAAAAAATTAATTTTTTTTACTTGTAATCAACTAAAATAAATCAAATTCACAAAAATGATACAAATAAAACAAAAAAAAGTTGATGATGTGATTGTTACCTTCTTGTGGAAGACAGGCTTAGTCTGACCACCATAACCGGACTGTTTCCGATCGTAACGACGCTTCCCTTGAGCGGCGATACTGTCCTTACCCTTCTTGTATTGAGTAACCTTGTGGAGTGTGTGCTTCTTGCATTCCTTGTTCTTGCAGTAGGTCTTCTTGGTCTTAGGAACGTTAACCTACAGATTAACAACAAGCATACGGTTAAGAATGGTGAGATTAACGATTTCGGAGAATAAGCGACGGAGTTAAGAGAGGTCGAGAAGGTTTACCATTGTGGCGGCGCGTGGATCGGATCTTGAAGATGAAGTTGTGCGCCGTGAAAATGAAAATGTGAGGCGATTTGCTGTGTCTTAATGTTTTGGGAATTAGGGTTTCGTTGATGGGCTTTTCTTGTAAGAAAATGTAACAAGCCCAATATTTAGCCCAGCCCGTTTGCATTTTGTAACTTGTATTTCTATACATATCCATTTTCTTTATGCACTCCCTTCTCTTTGGTTTATCATTTTTTCTTTAGTAAAATATTTTTGAAATTTTAAAGGATACACCTTAGGTGGAGTGGCACTTAAAGCACGCATGATGTCAATTTGCATTTGATAGGATGAATTCCCGGATTTATTAGGTTGGTATTTTCATTTATATTCTAAAAAATGGAGACTTTCTCCTCCTTAGATGAAAAATAAAATCTTCATAAAATATTTTATGGATGAAAATGTATAGCATATTTATTCGTCGGCGAAGTCTCCGCCTCATATATATATTATCAAAAATCACATATATTATCAAAATATATTTGAAAATACATAAGTTTAAAGGTATATTTTGTTTTAATCTATCTTTTATATAATTTAAAATAAAATAATAGATTTATTGGATTAGTTTCTACATTTCTTTGGTAGAATTTTAAATTTTTTTACTATTAATTTGATTATAAATAAATAAACTATTATTTTATTATATTATATTTATAGATCTCAGTATGGACCGTGGGAATAAGAGACGAAAATAGAAAAAAAATCCCCATGGCGAAAAGTGGGAATATGGAATAGATTTAGAGCAAAGATTATTAAAATATACTAGTTGTAGTACAAACAACTCTTTTTCATATATTTGTACAAAGTAGGTTGCATCGGATATTATGCTATAGTTAAAAAAAAAAAAAAAAAGGTTGTCATGTTGTTGCAACAACATATTGAACTGGCATTGAGTTAGTTATACTCAATGAACTTAATCATACTATAAATAAGTTATGATTATCAAATATAACTAACTTTTCAGTCATTTAATAAAAAATAAATAATTGTTCTCTCTCTTTCTCCCTTTAATGATGAATAACTATCATTTTTCTTTATATTTCTATCATGATATCTAGAGCCTATAATCCATTCCAACCATAACTTTCACAGAAACTGCACAATCATCACCATTGAAAGATGAAAATTCTTATAAAAACACTAAGAATTCAGTGGTTGGTGATTCTTTGAAGAACATGTTCAAGACTTTCACTCAACAAATCACTATCAAGCTTGATGATATTACTTCCTCTTCTAGAAGTAACAATTTGAAGGCATAATCTACATCCATAGGCTGCATATTCACCTTTAAAATCCCGAAATTCCTTTGTGGTATCTTTCGATTGAAGATCGCGCTTCAGATGTGGAGAATCTAACGTATCTTTCGTGGCAACGAGAAGACTCGTTTATTTTCATGTGAATCCTCATAACTCTTTCAGATTTAGTTTTTCCACGAGTGGTGAAATGTGTTCAAGTGCATGAAGTTTAGTATATGATTGATCAATTTCAACGAACTCAAGTTTATGCGAAATCACGACAACTTCGCTACATTGAAAAGGGAGATCGTACAATTTCTCAATATCTAGGTTGCATTTCGAGAATTATGGATATTCTTGAATCAATTGGAGATCCAATTTCTCATCGTGATTAGTTAGAGACAATTATTAATGGACTTACAACTGAATATCAAGGCCTTGCATCCATCATTCAGTATCGTGATGAACCATCTATGATTATTGTTGAAACTATGTTTCTCTTGCATGAAGACATACTTGAGATAACACCTAGAACGCTAGTGCAAAAACCTCTTTATGTGAACCTAACTCAAGGTACCACTACATCAACTCCTAACTCTGGTCTGTCTAGTATCTTACCTGCAAATCAGGAACCACATTCACAAATGACTACTCATAACCCTGTTTAACAATTTGATAGGGATCGTGGTGGATTTCTGAAGCTCCTTTCGTTAGCTCCATCTCAACTTGCAGTCATGCCATGATTTTTTAAAATACTAATATCTTCTTTATCGATTAGCCTGCACATATGTTCATTAATATTATTTTGTTGGGCTTTATAGATTTTTTTCGTTGGAGTTAATTTAAGGGAAATACATTTTCCACCCCATGGGGTGTCTCTCACTCCTTTGAAAACCCAAAAATACCCTTCACGTGTTCAGAGATGCATCTCCAAACGCACCTAAAATCACATAGTCCTTATATTTCAGCCAGCCACCCTATTTTTGCCAAAATTTAGTCAAGATATACATCTCTATATATTTTTTAGGGTAAATTCAAAGACGCATCTCCATAAAACCTCATATACTCATCTATGGTATTTTTGTTCACTGAGTTGGTTTATTTAACAACTTAATGATGTTTTAGGAGATGCATGTCCGAAAATACCAAACGGGAAATTGGATAAAACACTACTTTGCATGTTCTTCACCCTCATGATCAAAATGAGTTTTACCTTCAAAATCCTTAAAAAGTTTCTTCCTTTCTTGTCGCACCCCAAATTTTACTCTTAGATTTGTTGATCATTCCCATATCGTCTAAGTCAATCACTCATGCATAGCTAACCATTCTAAACAGTTTGTTTGCTTTGTTTTGTGAAGTCAAGTTTGCTACAAAAGATTCAAGATCTGATGACAAATTCTCTTCAAGACATCAGAACATTCCCAAAGGAAGATTAATTTTTCTCGTCCGTTGATTTGAGGCGTGTTTATTTAAGGGCGTGATGTATTGCAAGGTTGATCGGTTCGTGTACTTTGTTTTCAAGAAAGGATGATCTTCGTGGTATGGATTGAGATTCCCTCAGTCTATAGTGCTTTTTCGTTTTGGACTCACGATTGATTTGAAGAGTCAAGTGTGGGCATATACAAGATTAGTCTCAAGAAGTTTCCCATCAGTGTCAAAGTTATGGACGCATGTATTTACGTCTCAAGACTAGACTCATGACCTTTTTCTCATAATCTAAGTTTTGTTCTAATGTTATTCATGTAAATTTCAAATTCAAAATTCAAACTTAAGTCATCGTAAGATTCAAGCTTCAAGCCAAGGCATGACTACTTCGTTCTTATTTATTTCTTTCAACCTCAAGAAAAACCAATTATCACCGCGACAGAAATGACGACTTCACTGGGGATGCATGCTTGAGGGTTCCCCTAACTTGTTTTATTTTCTTTTTTTATTGTTATATACTTGCTTATTTATATGCTTACTTATTTATGCTTTTGGGTTGATATCCTTTTGTGGTGAGAAATGTCCTACACACGGACTTAAGTGTACTTATGATAGGAAGGTAATATATTTGAGAAGGCTTATAGGGAGTGATTCCCGACCAAGCTAACTTGAGAATCACCGCTCAATTGAGGCCCTCTTGAAAATTAGTATTGTTGAACGAGTATTCGTGAAGACAATTACTATTTTCGACATAGGAGCCTGTGATACTGGGGACCTTTAGTTACCTTTAACCCCACTTGGCCTTTCTTAGGACGTAGTGCGATGACTATGAGAGAGCAGTCCCAAAGTAGCTGTTATGCGATGCTACACTCAAAAGAGGTTTTCTTGAGAATATTATTAACCACTGAGTATTCGGGAAATTGATAATATCCAAAAGATGGACTAATAATTTTGGACACCTCTTAAAACCCTTGTTCTACAAGTACAATCAACCCTTAGTCCACATCTATGGGGATGGGTATACCCTTTGCTCCATACTCGTTGCAAACCTAGGTTTCCTGTTTGTTTATCTTTGTGTATCTATGTGCTTGCTTGTGTTTGTGCATCTTCGCATCTATAAAGCATCATATTGCATTGGTTTCATGGAATTCATAGTTTTTTTTATAAACATTGCAGGACCAATATGGATTACAAAAGAATTTTTTTTTTTGATATATTCTTTTAAGAGTCCTAACTTGGATAACCTAAGGAAGTTGGGAGCTCATATCAAAGATTAAAAGAAGATCAAAGACAAAAAGCATTTGTTATTCTCAAAGATCTAGGCAAACAATGGATTTCTTCCGTATTTTCCGACAAGAAAAGAAAAGAGATGGATGATTTATTTTCCTCTATCATACTACTCCTCAGAATCTGATCATGGATAAGCTTATATTCGAGAAGGTCCAGATGGAAGAGCAAATCAAGAAGCACAATACCAGACTTCCTTAGGACTTTATTAGCCTTTATTTAGCTATTATGTCATGACTCTTTTAAGAATATTTACTTGTAATTCGTTACCAATAATAATAAATAAGTTTCTTTGGTACCTTGTGACGTTTATAAAAACTTGAGTTCCATAAAACCTTTTCATTCTGCATGTTGCATGTTGCATAGCATCCCTCATTTAGCATCTACATGTGCATGTGTCTCTTCTCCATTGTAGCTCATCCGACCTTCTGTCTTTGTCTTGTCAGCTGACATCTCGACCATTTGACCAAGCTCGAAGTACTTACTAAAGGATAAAAAAGAACGAAAGATATGAACCCCATGACTGGCTTCAGAGTGAGGACTAATCCGATATTTGATCTTTCTTCTGATGACAATATTCAACAAGTGGATGTTTCTACATAATCTCAACCTATGCAAGATAACCTGGTTGATCAAGTTGAAGAAAGAGATTCCCAGTTTCCACGATGTATACCAAATCCTCAGAATGCTCATACTGAGATGATCGACTTGAATACCAGCTGTAAATTTCATGACAGAGTAATGAGGCATTCGATTGAAGAGTGTAAGGTCTTCCAAGGAAAAGTTCAAGAGATGATCGACGACAAAGTGTTGACCTTCAAAGGAGGAAGCCCGGTCGTGAATGGAACGCTATTATACTGATGAATATGACGAAATCAAAAATGCAAGATCTCTGGTCGTATGCTTTTGAATAAAACCCGGCTGATGATGTAAGGCATTGTTTCAAATCCTTAAACACTGGAGATATAAGGGAGATAGACCTTTGTTAACCCCTTTGAGCGTTGAAGTAAGAGT